GGTCTTCAGTTTGGTTTTAAACAGAGAGAGAGATTGAACAACCTGGATTTCAAGTGGCAATTGGTTCCAGAGTGTGGGGGCAGCTTGTGCAAATGAACAGTGCTCAGTAGCTTTTTTGCATTTTGCCAATAGGATGTTCTAAAAGTAGCTTCCCATGAGACCTCAGAGAGGAACAAGAGTGAGCTTTAACATGCACCAAGCCAACAAAGTATGTTGGAGCAAGGCCATGAATGGCTTTGAAGGTCAAAAGAAGAATAATTTTATGTCGAACCCGGAACTGTACCGGAAGCCAATGTAATTGACGAAGTGTAGGAGTGATAAGAGTCCCAAATGATGAATTACAAACAAGTCTGGCAGCAGCATTCTGTACTCTCTGAAGCCTAATCAATTGAGAAATTGGCAAACAATTAAATAAATTATAGGTTTTCCCACCCAACTTTTTAAAATCGGCGCTCCAATTAACGTCAGACTCATTCAATTTAGCGCGAATTTGATTGATGATCCAGATCAACATTCAATCAGCCAAAATAATTATTCGATTTAACTCCATGAGCACGCGATTGCAAATTCCTGTTAAACTGCAAAATTTGAGTCGCTATTCAGTTTAGAAAACCCCAAGAACAGAAGTCAAATACGCACGGTCACTCTGTGGTACTCGTAATAGGCATGTGATTTTGTGAATAGGCAAGCATTTCTGACATCCGTGCAATGTTTTTCATCGAAGTCTAATTTACAAATTTGAAATGTTTTATGCTTGACTAATTTATTTAAATTCCATCATGAAGAAGAGGGGTTTCACTCGCAGAGAAAAATTGCTCTCAGTACACTAATATCACCTTGATGGGAGAACCTCTTGTCCATAATGTATGTATTTATTTCTGCTTAAAACGAGAAAAAGAAATGATCAGATTCTTCTTATCTGGTTAAATGATTGTTAAATGACCAAATACTCTTTTCATCAGTAATCTTGTAATTTGTATTTTTTCCTGCTTGAAAATTTATAAAAAGAAAGAACAAAATTGGTTTCGTGTAATCCGACATTTTTTTACTTTAAAAATAATACGATATTATCCCCATAATTATTTAACAGAACAAAAGTATACCAGTATAAGTTAAATGAAAAGGTTGGGGATAATAAAGATCCAGGGCAAATATCGCCAGCGATCAAGATGTCTCTGGAACTGTATACGTATCATAATTATTCAGAAACTCTATCTTTTCTCCAATACTTAGGGTACGTATACTTTGAAAAGCTAACATTGCGAATATGAGTGCCCATTGGCGGATATGAAAGTAAAATTTGGGTAGGAATCCACCTCCTAGTCACCCAGAGCGAAATAAGGTGACGGTTGTGCATCATGAAATTGAATGATACTGTTACTAAACTGAATCCTTGAAAGTGCACGATTGGACGTCCACATACGAAACAGAATGCGCAAAGTTTCGAAAATCAACCATTGGAGTAACGGGCTTCGAGAAATAGCTGGGATGTAAATGCAATTTCATGAATTTAGATGCTGTTTTAACTAATTCGGCCGGGAAAACCTATATTACAATAGTCCAGACGACTTGTTATAAAA